CAAAAATACTACCCTCTTTGGTTGTTCGCATGTTTTGATTCTTCAAGCCTATTCCGGCCTCGCCTGATAGAATTATATTAAAAGGGACAGTAACATGTTATTCTCTATAGCTTAAACATACAACGCAAGCGAAAACTTTCAAACAGCATTAAAACAATGTTTTATTAAGAGATCTTTTAATGGTCCGGAACTGCGTATTCACTTTGACAAACAGATATTTTGTTTGTTTTATTTTTCTTCTCCTTGATGCCTCATGATTGAACATGTGTCAAGGCATTTGTGTTAAAACTATTGTTAAATTATTAAAGCATGACTTTATATTTTTATTTGTTATTGAATATGTTATCAGAAAAAGGTACTTCAGAATATAGCATAAAATTTAAAAAGCATAATTAGAGTGTTTTATACTAAACTTGATTTTCTGACTTGAACTATCCTTACACCTATCTCTTTAACAGTAAAAGACATATTCGTTGTAATAATGTAATAATTCACCAACTAAAAATAATTTTTGATAAATTATTAAATATTAAAACGAAAGCAACGACGTTTGAAATAGTGTTGTGAATTATTGAACATATTTTTCTCTATATAATTTCATATTCTTAAAAATACTTTGTTTTACAATAGAAACACATGTTAAATTATTAGATGAAAATCGAAATTGACATCGTAATAAATGAAGTTGATAAAAAATGATAATCTCGTCCTCTGCAAAAAATTATTAGTAACTGCTTTGTTTAAACCATTGCACTATTGTTTCTCTCGACATGTTGTTATCTTTTTGTCCCCCGCCATTTCGAAGAAAAAAGAGGGATATAGAAATAGGCTTCGTCCGTCTATCCGTCCGTCCGGGCGAACATCCAATGGTCTATGAGCTTCAGTTCGTCCGTTCGTCCGGGCGAACATTCAATGGTCTATGAGCTTCGTTCCGTCAAAAAAGAAGGAAATCACATAAATTTACAGGTTTATGTGGTAATTTTACTGCTTTATGAGGGAAAAGGTATATAAACCCCACTTGTTGGCATGTCCGTCCGACCGTCTGTCCGTCCATCAGATTTTCGTGTCCGGTCTATAACTTTGTCATTTATCAAAGGAATTTGAAATAAGTTGGCACATATGTTTGTTAAAATGAAGCAATGTGTCATGCGCAACAACCGGACCACTACCTCCAAGGTCAATGTCATGCTTGTTGAATAAAGGTCGATATTGTGTATTTGAGGGTGTATGTCGTGCCGGTCTATTACTTTCTTATCAAATGAGGGATTTTGAAAGTACTTGACACAAATTTACACAATAATAAGACAATGTGTCATGCGCAAAAGTCAGTTGCCTACCTCAAAAGTCAAAGTCACAGTTGGAGGTCAAATATTTACATAGTCTGTTGCAGGGTATATATTGTGTCCGTTAATTAACATCTTTTTAGATTAACGGATTTTCAAATTATTTGGCACAAATGTTCAATTAAATGACATGTAATGCGCAATACCTAGACCCCTTCTTGAAAGGTCAGGGTCACACTTGGAGGTCAAAGCTTGTCTGTTACAGGGTATGATGCCAAGTCAGACCCATGCAAATGGGATGGTAAATTGGTCTGTTAAAAGGGTATATTTTGTTTCCAGTGCATAATTTTCTCATCCATCAAGGGATTTTAAAAATACTTTGAATAAATCTTGACAATGATAAGACGATGTGTCATATACAACACCTTGACCATTTTCTTCAAGGTCAATGTCACACTTAGAGGTCAAAGTTAAGCATGATCTTTCATAGGTTTTTTGTGTGTAGTCCGTAATTTTTTTATTGTGCAAAGGAATTAAAAAAATTACTGGGCACAATTGTTTACAATAATGGGGCAAAATGTCATATACAAAGCCAGCCTCCTTCAAAGTCAAGGTAATTCTTCAGTGCCAAAGCTTAACATGGTCTGTTTAAGCCTGCAACATTTTCAATTTTGCCGTGTTGGGCTTTCTTTAGGGATTCTATATTTATCTATTATATGATCACATCCGTGTTATTTGTGCCGTGTGGCGGCTGTGAAAAGTCTCCCCGTACATTTAATCAATGATGTTATATTTTCGATCCTTGAAGATCGTTCAGGACGACATTAGTGTTGTGCTTGTGGCATGCATTTTTAGTTTCAATTTTTCGGCATTTTCTAGTTGGGTGGTTCCAATATTCCTACTTGAATAATGTTGAATCACCCTTAGGATATGTTGCCTGCTTTTTAAATTTGTCTTTTGACGTCTTATCTGTGATACGCAGGCTTCATAACCGCCGATCCCCTTTCAAAATTCCGTTTTATTTAGTTCCGCCTATTGTTTTCTCGTTTAGGGCACACGCTTTTTATTACTTGGGGACCATACGCCGCTTTACATGGAATAGCACGGAAGTGTCACATTGAAGGTTTCATGATGACCGCCGTATGAACACATCTGCGGATGTTTCTAAATTCAAAAAAAATTACTATTTCATGTTTAATGTTGAATTCTGCTTAAGCCGGTGCTAGGGGGCGTGGACGGTAACATGCACTTTCCAGTACCGTCCATGAACAGGCTCAATCACACCGAGCCTGCAAAATTTTCAATTTTGCCGTGTTGGGCTTTCTTTAGGGATTCTGTATTTATCTATTAGGGTATATTTTCTGTGCGGTACATTACTTCATTAATTAAGGGCTTTTAAAATAACTTGACACAAATGTTCAAAATTATAAGATTACATGTCCTGCGCTACACCTAGACCCCTATCTCAAAAGTAAAAAAAAATCTGGAAACAAAGTGATCCCTCGGAAGCATTAATCACAACAAAATTACAAGAAAATTGCAGACTCGGTTTGATTGAGTCTGTACATGAGGGATAATGAATACGTGCAACATCCCTCACGCCCCCTAGCACCGGCTTGAGCGGTACTCAATTCTCAACACTTAATAGTGCTGGCATCAATGATCCCGAAGGACCAGAAAAATATAACAACACTGAAGTGAAGTACGGGGCAACTTTTTACAGCTGCCACACAGCACTTTACACCTGCTGTTGTGAAGTATAAAAATCTGGAAACAAGGTGATCCCTCGGAAGCATTAATCACAACAAAATTACAAGAGAATTGCAGACTCAGTTTGTTTGAGTCTGTACATGAGGGTTAATGAATACGTGCAACATCCCTCACGCCCCCTAGCACCGGCTTGAGCGGTACTCAATTCCCAACACTTAATAGTGCTGGCATCAACGATCCCGATCCATCACACATATTAAATGCGCCCAATTTGTTATTCACAAAAAGATTATTAATGTGATTTCTGTTAAAAAAAATTTCAAAAAGATTTTCAAATAATAAAACGCAATTTACAGATCAATACAGAATAGGCAGTATGATATGAGATAAATAGTATAATATTTTATAACAAGGCACAACGATTGTTATAGGCACATTGCATGTAGCATAGTTGCATGGTATGATCGAATAAATCAAACACACATGACATTAAAAAGAATATGTCGCATTGATTCGTCATTTGAATCGGAACAATCCTTTTTGCTCCTTACTAACTAACCATATATAATCATTTCATCAATGATTATTGTAACATAATACCACTAGATATTTTATCAAGAATATAAATCTTGCCACATTTTACGGTAGTTATGAGACATTTATCGGCAAGGGAAAAACGTTGAACTTCGACATTCAACGTTATAAATGCGACACTTAACGGCAGAAAATCTTTCGACATTTAGCGGTGGTTATGAAATATAACAGCGTTATACAGATCACTTCTGAACAAAATGCATTTAATTAAACTTAAACAAACTATAAAAAATCGCATCGCTCCTTATTAGTGATATTCACATACGTTAGAACTTATGTTTTATCAACGTAAAAAAGTCTGCATCAAAAGAAATAAGACAATTTAGCGTTTTGACAGTGTTGTGTGTCTATTCTCCTGGCAAGAACGTGCATGAAAGATATTCAATATTTTAAATGTGTATTTTTAATGATTTTTCTGTTACTTATATTTGTACAATCCCCCTACTTTTTCTTCCATTTTTTGGCACAAAGCTAAACTCGTTTTAAATTCACGGTGTACACGTATTTTCGTTTCGAATCGAGATCTATAAGACAACTTTAAAAATAAAATCAATTTGATAACGCTCAAGACAAAATATCTGGTTTTGAGATAAAGACATGTGAAAGTAATAGCATATGAAACGACTTGGTTACATGAGTATTACACTGGCTGGGATGTTTCTTCTGAACAAATGTCGCGGCAGTTAGGCCGAGACGAGTTTTAAGAAGAAACTTCTTGAGCTGTTTCCTAGTTAGTGTTATCACTCACAAATGTCTTATATTATAACTGTTAAATGGCAATTTCATTTTTTTTGTAACATAAATCAGCGCAAAAACATTTTTCACTGTTATCCCCATCTTGTGATCACACATATTATTTTCCTTTTATTACATGACTTCAGACTAAATATTCCAACACTTTTCAATTGTTTACATCGAAACGCGGTTGTCAGGCATGTACAGAAGATAACGGCAAACGTAAAATGGTAAGACGGACGCTACAAAAATAAAATTTCTAAATGATAATTATCCTTTCGTTGCAGCTTTATACCATTTAAGTGAAGTAAAGATATTTTAATTTAAAAATAAATTAAAAAGTTAGGAAAAAAAACAACAAAACAGTATTTTTAATGTAATTCTACAGATTTACAGAATCATGAAAAATAACACGGACCGCAAATAAAGATTTGACACAGCATTATTACTTACAGAGTAAGCGATAATACGATAAAAAGGCAGTATTGAACTGGCAAGCATTAAATAGAAATAACGCTTATATTTTGATATATCAATTTATACAAAGCCTTATAGATATATCTATTATGTCCTTTTATATTTAAGGTATTACTAAAATGATTTTAACTTCCTTCACGTAGAGCCAAAAAATATCTACTAACTGTTTTACTATTTGAATTTAAGAAGGTGTGACATTTATATGTTTCATACGAATCTGTGGAAGAATATCGTTTCTACGTTAAACGGGGAGTTATTTACGTAGTGAGATATCAAAATGTTTTTATTTTTTATTATTGTTAATAGTGAATAAAAAGTATTTTCAGCCTTCATTCATCAAGAACAAAAGATAAAAATAGCGGAACTAGTTTTGTATATTTATTAACACATGTAAGTTTTCCATATATCCTGTCTTTCGTTAACTTAAAATGGTAAAAAAGACAGAAAAGTAAAAAGGGATGTATATTCTCCATTTTGTGACAAACATCAAAAATATACTGTAGACCTATTTTGTGTGGATTGTGACAAAGTAATCTGTGTAATTTGCCAAGCTACAGAGCATAATTCAGGCAATCATAAGAGAATACTCACAGTTGAAGACGCATCTGCTAAATTCGCTGAAACTAAGGAGTTTTTAGATTATGAAGGCAAACTTTCCTTCGTTTCCAAACGTGAAAATGAAATATTGGCAGAAAATAACAAAGTAGTTACAATAACGAATCAAATAAAAGAAGAAACAGAATCTGTGATTAAGAAGCATAAACAGGACATGATTGATCTGATTGAAAAACATTACAAGATGTTATATGAGAAGAATCAGCTCAAGTACGAAGAATCCAAGAAAAGATTACAAAAAGCGAATGAGCAATTGTATAAGAATAAGAATAAAACTGCAGAAATTTGCCAGGAAATCCATGACAAAAAGGAGAGTGGACAAAACGTGGCATTGTTTATAGCTATGAAAAAATCACAAGATAATTTACGGCAAATTGAAATTGAAATAGAAGAAACTGAAAAACTAAATTTTGTTGAAAGGTAACTATATATATGATATATACCTATAGAAACTGCTACAATGCAACACTAAACTTATATTCTTTTATATCAAACTTTGGATAACGCAGGTAGCTTACTTTTTTATACAAGTATATCTTACTTTACGTAACTTGTCTCAAAATCCCAATCAATCATAAAAACTAAAGCTTAAAACAAATTCAAATATAATTTTTCACACTATTACACTTATAGAAATAGCGCTTAGATTATGCTTCCTTCTTAAAAGGATTGTATTGATTTAAATGAATACTGTCATGCACAAACAGATACGTGTAAGTGGCTTTAGTAAAAAATAACAGAACGCCATATTTGGAGGTTAAATTTTTTCTTTATATGGTCATGTTGGCTTTGTAGCATTTTACATGAAACTGTTAGAATTTGATTTATAATGGAAAATTTGTAATTTATTTACATTCATAAACATTGCGCCATGATTCAAGGGTTAGTTCGAATCAATTAATTCGGCCGGGCACAAACATATATGTAAGTTACAAATTGTCATAACCTAACACCGTAAACTCTTTATTTTAACGAAACATTCTCTCAGTCTAAAAGTGTGCTATTTATAGTAACAAATGTATAATAACGGAGTAAAGATTCGTCAAGGACTCCTCGGAGAGAAAACATCATGGAAAATTATAATAAACATCGAACCCGTAAACACTTTCACCCTCATTGCTTTAATACATTTATCATTTACACTTATTACTGTTTGCACAGTAGGAACTATCACATATATAAGGAAAGCGTAAACGTGATGGACACAATATAGTGAAATAGAATTCGTAAAGAAAACCCAATGCAGCAAAATTGAAATGTTATAGAGTCGATTTAATTGTGCCTGTTAATTGACAGCACTGGAAAGTGCATGTTACCGTCCACGCCCCTTTATGCGGATATTTATATCCTACAATTGACGAATATATACCTTAACCTACTCTATATTAATATGATATATTCGATAGTATAAATTCTCTTGGCAGGTATAAGTTTCAAGCAGGACACATGGTGGGACAGCTTTTGGAGGAAGAGAAAGAATTTGGTGAATTGTTGGTAACGGCGTCAAAGTCTGCAAAAGGTACATGTATTGGAATCTATGTTATCATAGTTATTACTTAAATAAATGAAAGCCGACAGTATTCTGTCTGTATAAATTAGCAGGCATATTAATTTTTCACCTTCTCAGAGAACAGAAAAAGTAGTTTCATATTATACAAACTTTATTTGTTAAAGTGAGACAGTCTAAAGTTATTTAATTTCTTAGTATTTCTGCTGCACGGAAATACAATTACAGTTGATACGATCCCCTGTACAAAAATTGACTTTCTGCAAGAGAAATGGTAACTTCCGGATACATATCAAAGTCTTTTACTTTTATGATTTTGTATAAGAATATTTTAAACACTGTGCAACAGTCGACAAGTTGTGGCGGAGGTATTAGTAGAATATATATCTGATGGTTGTACACCATCGCGGTCAATTCATCATATTATTCAGGTTTGTATGTAACATAATCAGAGTAGTTATGACGTTATTGCCAAATGTAAAAAAAAAACAATTGTTGGTAACAAAGTTACTGGATTATTGGCTCAGGTAAAACATCTAATGAATATTACAAAAATATTACATTTTGTAACCTAAACAAATTCAGCACGTTCATTGCTTTGATTAGTCCATCTGTCATTGCGTTAACTTTTCTTTTAAAATAATGAAATGCATCATGATTATTTGGAATAAATGTAGCAATTTCACATGTTATCTTTTATAAGTTCTGCTTTAAAATGTTCAAAATATGCAGTGAGACTTTATTAATTTAGTTCAGTGTATGTGATTAAAGAAACAAAAAATGATTAATTTATAACATGATGATTTAATGTGTATACATGTAACCTAATATCATTTAGCATATTTCTGAAAATAAATCTATATTCACCATTTGTAGTACCGCTACTTGAATTAAAACCTCCTGGTGCTTTTGTGTTACCTCGTCAGAGCAATGTTATGGTACAAAGAGATATGGCAGATGAAGATGAACAGGAAGATTACGGTATTTCAATATGTTAGAATGTTTATCAAGCATTTGATAAACCTTATTTGTCGATGACCAATTAGGTGAAAAAGTTTAAACGCCTGTTTATTAGATTGATAAAACAAGAAAAGGAACAGGAAGTTAATATGTATTTAAATGGTATTTAAGAGGTAAAAACATGTCATTTATTCCTGGAAAATGATAAATTATCGTTGAATTGTTTGCATAACATAATAACAATTTAATAACTTAAAAGGTTGACACTTCTTGTTGTCTTTCTGTTCATGTTAAAGAGTCAATAATGGACATTACAGCTATTTCGTGATCAAAAACATGTACCTAGTAAAAGATTTTCTCGATTACATTTTATTCCTTAAGTAGAAAGATAAATTTAAATAAATTATTTTTTCTATAAAATAGAAAAAAAATTAAACATTTAAAACAACTGCAAAACGGAAAAAAGTGAATAATGATTCAGACTTGGTTTGACTGAGTCTGTTCAGAGACTGGAGTGGTAAGTGCAAGCTCAATCTAGACAGGTAAGCCAAATACAAAAGAATGTCCTTATACAACCATTTATAAAAACGCTAATAAGCGTGGACCCGGGGGCGCAGATCGAGATTTCAGAAATAAAACGGAGGGGGCGCGGAACAAAAAGCACATTTATTAGCGGTGGCGTTAGCGAAGATTAATTAACAAACTCCGCCTCAGCGAAAGGTCGAGAATAAACAATTTAAAATGGCGATGTGGAGGGAGGGGGGGGGGGCTGAGCAAAAACACGCTTATTTGCGGGGCGCTAATAAGCGAGTTTTCGCTTCGCTCCCTTGCCATTTTATTTCTAAAATCTCGTTTCGAGGTCGCCATTCATAGAATGGTACGTACGTGTCACATTGAACGTTCCATGAAAACGGCCATATGAACACATTTCCAGATTTTTGTAAATTCGAAATTTCACCATTGTCGTGTTGAAATGTTGAATTCTGCTTAAGACGGTGCAGAGGGGCACGGGCAGTGACTTGCACTTTCCAAAAGAGTGGCGTGTTGTCCCTAAATTAACAAATGGTGATGTCCTAAACGAGAAAACAATGGCTTAACAAAAAGGGACGTTATGAGGCCTGTATGTTTGTAAAAAACAAATCCCTATATAATCCCTCAAAACGGAAAAATGGAACATATTGCATGTTCGGTTAAATTGAGCCTGTTCATGGACAGAACTTAAAGATAAAGTCCCATTTAACAGAAGTGGGAAAAAGGTGATTCCTCGGAAGCATAAATCACAACAAATCTAAATGAAAATTGTAGACCCGGTATGATTGATTCTGTACATGAGGGATAATGAAAAAGTGAAACATTCCTCACGCCTCTCTTCCACCCCCCCCCCCTTTAGTACCGTTTTGATTGTTACTAAATTTCAAACATTTAATGTGCTGGAAGAATTTCTTAAATAAAATTTAGATGTAAAATAAACAGGTTATTTTACGTGTAGTACAAAATGTTTTTTTGAATTCGGACTCTAAACAGCATAAGAACTCCTACTTGAATTATCTGGCAGACCGCCAAACTATGTGCTCGTCAAAATTTATTCCGGTCTTGTACAGTTTTAAGTTAAATAACCTATAAATGTGCTCTGTGTTGATTTATTGAAGACGTTAGGACTGATAAACATGCATAACCATGCATTTTATTATTTTAAGGGGTTTATATCTCTCTGCCTAAGTATGTGAAAACCTTCCCAACTGACGACAAGATTTTGCCTCAAGTTTTACAATCATTAAACAGATCCGGTTTCATGTCTGTATTGTTACTTGTTTTGGATGTTTACATGTTTTGTCATGCCTGTCTTGTTGGATTTATGGGCCCATTTTAGTTTATATTATTTCACATTACATGTCCCACTCATTTCACCCTATGTCCGCTCCAGGTTTTTGTTTGGTGCCTCTTGGGTGTCCTGCTTGGGTATGTCGGGGAGCTGCGTCCTGTGAACGTTGTCTTTGCCTTGTTGATCTTTATTCATGTTTTTTATAAACATTATGTGACAATGTACATAAGTTAAGCGTCGGTTTTAATTTCAATTTTGAACTGAAAATCTTTTTGAAAACTGACATTTTTTATTTCTAATTCTTTGAACAAAATGTTAACTAAAAGAAATCTTAAAAAAAATGCTAATATAAGGTTAATAACTCTTGCATCTTTTCCTCTTTTCAAAAATTGTCTTCCTTTTAATCATAGAGTTGTTGCCTTATTTTTTTACTCTTTAACTATATGCACTACTAAACGGATTAATACTTCAGATTTATCATTGCTATCTTTTCTATAATTACAGCGTTTTATAATTAAGTGTTTTGAAGAGTTTGGACACGTCAGTGCCTTCCTGGTATCGATACAATGTATGGATATTATAATTTATTCGTTTAAAAGTTCAGACTTTCTAAACTGCGCCCGGTATTAAAAAGGGTTAGCCTTTATATTCTTTTAGAGCTATTCTATTTTCTCCACATTATTTAGAATACATAGATGAAGATGCTAACGATGAACAACTTGACTCGAGGATGCCTCAAAATGCCGGAGCTAGCAGAAATTTTGATAAATTTTCCAATGATCTGAATAGGAAATGTAAGTGGCAATGTTGTTTCTTTCTATTTTTTTTTCTAAATAAATAGGAATCAATTAACTGAAATGGAATCTCCTTTTATCCTGGTTACTAAATGAATATGTTAAGGTAACTATAAGCTTTTGAACCGCTTAGTACGATAGGGATGATATTTTTTTTTACTATTCTTCCCTAAGTAAATAAACATTTTTTCAAATGTTTTGATATTTTATCCAAAGTTATAATCACCTTTGTTTCCTTTCGAAACTAATCGAAATCGATTTAAAATGAAAATCTCTAAATTGGTACTTAGTTTGATTTAAAGCAATTGATTTTTATAAAAAAATAAGAGCATTAATCATATAAACAACACAGTTTATAAAGATGCACCTCCGATTGCAAAGAAACCATCACCTGGAACCATACGGCGACGAAGGAACACACGGCACCATTGTAATGATTCTGATACAGTAACGACGGTATTTACGTGTATTGTTTTTTTCCTTTTTAATAACTTGTAATGTACGTAGTTATGCATTTACCATCCCTTCGGCTTTGTGGTCGGCGAGGATAGGAAATAATGATAACGGAATTGATATTTTTTGTAATTCCGTCTTTTGTCGCCTATGTACTTAAATCGCTTTGGATATGTGATATGATTTTTTCAGAAGTTAATGTTCATTACTTTCACTTAATACAATATTATAATCTGCATGTTATAATTATATGTTATAATAAGTAAGTTGATGGTCAAGCTCATCGAAATATTTTACTAGCTAATGGTAATTTCTTTATTAAGACTAACTTAAGTGTCTAGTTTCGAGTTGATACCCAACCATAGCTTTATTGAATAAATACGATCAGTTTACATATCATTTACTTTTTAGACATCAATATCACCTTTTTCATTCTGTAGAGAAACTGAAATACTTGCGATTGTATTATTCTTATGATTGCCATAGTTCAGTCGAATTTTATGTTAAATTGCGTCACTATTATATCAAAAGTGAGCCCAAATCACATTCATTTCAAATTTTAGGAACAGCTTCGGGAAATTGGGCAAACACAAAAACCAGGTAAAGTTTCAATTGATTTGATGTACTTTTTGAAAATATTTAAAAATAAATATTTAAAATGAAGTATTCATTAAATTATTTTTTTTTTTAATTAACGATAATGTATTTAAAGGGCATCCGTGGCAAACTGGTTAAGGTCGTTGACTTCAAACTACTTGTTCTTCACCGATGTGGATTCGAATCTCGACTTGGATTCTTTGTGAATGTAAGAAAGCTATCAAACAAGGTTCGGTGATTCTACTCACTTCCCAAGGAAGGGCACCTGAGCTTTTAACCCACCGGTGAAGCTGGAAAGCCGCCATATGACCTATACTATGTCGGTGCGTCGTAAACCCAAATCTACAGTGTTCCGTTCAGATAATCCTGATTTTTTATTTCGTCCTCGGTACGATGGTTAAATCGTGCCATCGCGTTTTCACTATCGTACTTTGAGATTTTCTCAGTTTGTAAACGTTAGTGAAAGTCGAGCCCGGGGTAACAAATCTGACGTAACTTCTAATTCCACTACCGAAGATTGATAATATTTTTTAACTTTCATCATACTTCTTAATATATTCTTCTCAAACTTCAATACTGAACAGTGTACGTGCAAATACATACTTACTTTAGAATACCATTGTTTTTTGTGATATTTAGCTTGCTTGCAACTAGACCAATGTCCGGACTTGAGCAAAAGTCCAGTATTCAGACCTCTCAAATTTAAACAGTTTGAAAAAAACATATATTTACAGGAAAAGAGACAGAATTATGATTAAATAGCTATAATTCAATTGTCAATGATAAAATAAAATATACTGACGAAGTTTTTGCACCTGCATAAATAAAGACGGGTAATTCTTTAACTTTTAATTGGACAATCCACCTGTTGGGATTTTTAATCTGCATTTAAATACACAGAAATTTGCCATTTAAATTGCTGTCCCAATTAAAGGAATTTTAATGCATGTTTAGCTTTAAAAGATTAAACAAATGACCGGTGATCTGAATTTAGATGTTTTGGTATTGAGGGTATAATTTCAATGAATTTATAAGGAAAATCTACGGGACTTAAAAACTTGTCCGTGTGTCAGAAGATTCCGGTTTTTTGAGTATTCTGGTTTTCAGAGTCTTTACTATAGAACATTTTTCTAGCAGCAATACAAGTTATATGCAACACAACCAGACTATTATAAATGATAAAAAACATGAAAAAATAAGCAAGCTTTCATTTACTACATAAATCGAAAAATGATATCGTATTGACCTTCATCTTGACAGGGGGAGCAGCGGGCGAAATAAATACCAAGCAAGACACTCATATAAGCTTACTTATATCAAGTAATTTGTAGGTATTGACCTTAAAACAAAATCTTCTATTTCAAGTTTAAAATACATCGATTATGACCCTACGTTTCGCTCAAGCAAACCAATTTTTGGTCTTATTATCAGCTTGCATCCCGCAACATTTCGTCGAAATGTCTCATAGCTAGCTAACTTAAGTGATTGGACGGATACCATTTTTTCTATATTAAGTAAAGGTTACATTTGCCTTGAACCTAGGGAAAACCCTACGCAATCCCAGGAGAAGTTTTTACGTATGCGTGTATAAGACATAGTTTATTCCATAAATCAGTTATTGACCTGTTTTAAGTAAAAATGACATTTACATTGACCCTTAGGAGGCTCGAAAGCAATCTTTATCAAAGACTACACATATGCCTGGTAGAAAACAAACTGCATTGAAATATCTCATTCAAAACTTGTTAATAACGGGAAACAATATTTTCTCTGTTAAGTAACTGCGACCTTGACCCTACATGACCCAATGCAATCCCAAGCGACGTCTTCGCATTGACTTACAACTCATTGGAATTTCTTATTCCTATCTGTAGTCACTGACCAGATATTGTTTTTCTATTTTTATAAAAAAAATATACTAAACCGTGACCCTAGTAGGCCCAAAGGCAATCACCAGCGAGTCTTTTACACCATGTTTCATTTAACTATATCATTATTCGCTCTAGTCATTTACCGGAAACCGTCTTCTTCTATTAGTTACGGTGACCCGACCAATGCAATAATAGTTTTTTCATGTAAGCGTTCAACACAGCAAGTATCACTATAATACATTATTTCTTAATAACATGTCCGTTATTGATATAAAAAATGATTTTCTACTTTAAGTAAAGGTGATCCTGACGATGACTCTAGGCGACCGTATAACAATCCCAAGCGATGTCTTTACATAAGCCTGCTATATACCAATTGAGAAAAGTCAATATCAACTTCAGAAATGGACCAGAAACAATCTTGTTTTACGAACGTCTGTCTGTTCATCCGCGGCCGCGCGTCCGCCTTAAAACAATATTATTTCCAGGATTATAGTTTTGAAAAATCTGGTCGAGTACGAGTATGTAAGGATTTTGAACTGAAAATATTCAGCCCCTTATTCTGCTTAGCCAAAAGTGATCAATATTCAACACAAGTTAAAATCATCTCAGACTCCACAACTATGAATTGTGTTCTGTTTTAAGTCAAAATAACACTGTAATGGTCATTTTGTGACTCTCCAGTTAGACCCTTGTAGTATTTCAGACTCATCAAGCATCTGAATAGAACTACCAAGTTGGATATTTTCCCCACATGAATGTGTTTACAGCAGTAAGGGCAAGTGGCTAGACGCCAATGACCTAAACCATTCGGTCACAAAGCCCCGACCAAACTCCAGACTGTTGGCAGCTTGAAACAGTTTAAGACTTTTTTAAACTGATTTAAATTCAAAAATTTGCTAATCTTATACACATATTCGCCATGCTTAATGTACAGATATAATTGATGCTTAGGATCTCCAATTCTATGTTCAGAACGAGAACAAGCAGCATACATTAATCCTGCACTATATATACAATTAGGTAAAGATATGATATCAACACCTCAACAACAGCCAGGTAAATACAACTGAATAAATAATACATTTGTGTATATTTGAAATCGATAATGAAGAAAAGTTCCAGACAGTTATCACCAAAATTACTTGTATGTGTGGCTTGAGATAAATATTTCGACAATTTACTGTATTTCAAAAAATGATATTACGCACAAATTAGCTAATTCATAGAAATGCTTTAATACTTAAATAAACTGTTCTATATCCAAAGCATTGCAAATCCTTTACAAATATTCGCCAGGCTACATGTATAGAAACAAATGTTGTCTTTTAATGTATAGGATCTCCAATTCTAAATACAGAAAGAGAGCAGGCAGCACACTCAGGTCCTGTATTTCCTGCACAATCAGGTCAATATATGATATCAATACCTAAACAACAGCCAGGTAAATACAATTGAAGAAAGAATATATGTGTGTATATTTGAAATCGATAATTAAGAAAACCTATATTAATCTTTCCAAACATTTATCACCAAAATTACTTGTATGTGTGGCTTGAGATAAATATTTTGACAATTTACTGTATTTTAAAAAAAATTGTATTACGCACAAATTAGCTTATTCATGGAAATGCTTTAATACTTTAATAAACTGTTCTATATCCAAAGCATTGTAAATCCTTTACAAATATTCGCCAGGCTACATGTATAGAAACAAATGTTGTCTTTTAATGTATAGGATCTCCAATTCTAAATACAGAAAGAGATCAGGCAGCACACTCGAGTACTGTATCCCCTGCACAATCAGGTCAATATATGATATCAATACCTAAACAACAGCCAGGTAAATACAATTGAAGAAAGAATACATGTGTGTATATTTCAAATCGATAATGAAGAAAACCTTTATTAATCTTTCCAAACATTTATCACCAAAATTACTTGTATGTGTGGCTTGAGATAAATATTTTGACAATTTACTGTATTTTAAAAAAAATTATATTACGCACAAATTAGCTTATTCATAGAAATGCTTTAATACTTAAATAAACTGTTCTATATCCAAAGCATTGTAAATCCTTTACAAATATTCGCCAGGCTACATGTATAGAAACAAATGTTGTCTTTTAATGTATAGGATCTCCAATTCTAAATACAGAAAGAGATCAGGCAGCACACTCGAGTACTGTATCCCCTGCACAATCAGGTCAATATATGATATCAATACCTAAACAACAGCAAGGTAAATACAATTGAAGAAAGAATACATGTGTGTATATTTGAAATCGATAATGAAGAAAACCTTTATTAAGCTTTCCAGACATTTATCACCGAAATTACTTGTACGTATGCGTGGCTTGAGATAAATGTTACGACAAAAAAAATGCATTTTATAAAATGATATTATAATCAAATTAGCTTATTCATAGAAATTTCTTAATACTTAAATAAACTGTTCTCTTTCCAAAGCATTTCAAATCCTTAACACGAATTTGCCATGCTAAATGTATAGAAACAAATGATGTTTTTAATGTATAGGAACTCCAATTCTAAATACAGAAAGAGAGCAGGCAGCACACTCAGGTCCTGTATTTCCTGCACAATCAGATCAAGATATGATATCAGTACCTATACAACAGCCAGGTAATAACAACTGAAGAAAGTATACATTAATATATATATATATATATATATATATATATATATATATATATATATATATATATATATATATATATATATATATATATATATATATATATATATATATATATATATATTTGAAATGAAATCAATAATTAAAAAAACTGAAAGAAAGCGTTCAAGATAATTATCACCGACATTACTTGTATTTTTCGCTTGAGATAAATGTTTCTACAATTTACTGTATTTTATCAAAATTAACGATATTTTGCACAAAATTATTACAAACGAATGTTCCTAGATATTTATTTTATTTATTTTTTTGGTTGAAATGGATTGTGTTCATAACATTTCTTTTACTGACTTGTAATAAGTTAATTATATTTTGCTGTGCGTTATTTACAAAACGTAAAGTATTTAATTAAAGACTTAAACTGTACATTTACCAGATTATAGATTCATTATTTTTAATTGGTTTTCTTTTGTGTTAAGAAACGTATATAGCTTTGTACGATTACAAACCAAGAATGGACGATGAAATCGAAATCAAGGCAGGACATGTTGTGACGGTTTGGGAAAACTGTGATGATTGGTTCCGTGGTGTAGCAAGCGGGAGATATGGATTATTCCCTCAGAATTACGTACAGAAGGTTGAAGATTCAGGTGGTGCCGGTACACATGCTTCAGGTGGTGCCTGTACAAATGAAATGGCTAGTAAAATATTATATGCTCGCCGTGGTAAGTTAGACAAGAGCTAAATAAAACTACAGTAAACTACGCTTATAGCGAACTCATTGGGACATTCAAAATGTGTTCCTTATATCCGCAGTTCCTTTTAAGCATATAGCGAACTAGATTTAGTTCCTTGTATAAGGAGTTTTTATAGCGAACATATTTACATGTAACGAACTGATTGTTTAAAATCGTGCACCTTTCTGAAGAGCATTTGATTCACAAAGAAAAGATCATGGTCAGGATCAAGTGAACCTGATTTTATTTCCATTGTTCTACTTGACTAGAATTGATCGTGTTTTGCTAGAATTAAATTGTAAATATTCAAAATGTAAAAATTGCTGATTTGCAAAGAAACCAAACTATTTACAAATAACAAAACAAATACAAAAACATTCGGATCAAAATAAGGATCAATTTTAGGATCAGCATCAATATTTTGTTCAACTGTAAAATAGACGTATCATGTAAAAATAACAATAAATTTATTCTCAAATTTCATTAATTTGCTAGAACAAGTCCTGTTTTATCAAATTAATATTAGATATTTAATCTATGAGGATAAAAAATGAAGAAAATTAGAGTTTTTAAATTTGATCCTGATCTTGATCCTGATCCTTTAATATTTGTAAACACGGCGCCTCGGCTTTTCGTTTTCCTTCCATGATTAAGAATAAACAAGATTTTCGATTCTTCATTCCTTTCATATTGAATATCTTCTATTATATTTTAAGGGTGACTTTAACCACGGATTTATGATATACATCCGTGCTTTGACTGATGAAATATATAGATTTCTTTTCATTTCAACCAAGCATACTTTGTAGTTTTCAATGGATTATGCTTGCAAGCATGCTGATTATGTTAAAAAACCCGATAATATTTATAAATTATCATAATTATTCTACTCGAGCAAAACAATTTAAAAAATAATAAATAAAAGAATAAAAGGAATAATCGTTTTATCTTGGTGACAAGAACTCATGCTAAAAATATCCCTAATAGAAAACTATTACGTACTTCTATACAAATTCATTTTCTTAGATGTATTGAAGTTCGTTCAACAATAAACGGTACATTCAGCCGCCAATGAAAACGAAACATGCGGGTTCTATTTACGGATAGCCGATATTTTGGAGTTCGTTATAAAAGTGTAATTTTCTGTACTTTTAACTAAATTGGGACTAAGAAATGAATTCCTTATAACATTGTATAAGCGATAATTCCTTATAACCGTGTTCGCTATAACCGTATATTTTTATATTAGATAAAGAAGGGCTAAATTCGGGCCAAAATAAATTGTTCCTTATAGCCGGAAGTTCGCTTTAACCATGTTCGCTATAAGAGAAGTTTACTGTAATATAAAAAAAATCAAGAAGTGATGGATGTATTTTATCAATATCAAAACAAAACAATTTGTGTATTCAAGAGACAAGACAAATCTTATGAAAAAATATTGTATATTTAGATCGTTTCAGAATCATCTTGAATAATTGTAAATAAGCCATTAAATCACCGACATTTTATAAAACATATTTAAGTCAGTATATTAGTGTGTTACCACTACAAAATTAAATAATATAATCAATTTTCTAATTCACATTTCAATATTATTAGTACAAGTATGGACCATTTTCTGAATTCCACCAATTCGTAAGAAATATGTCGTTCCAAACTCTAGTAATTAACTGTTTTAGCGACCATTTCCCTACATGACCCAACGCAAACCCAAGCGACGACTTTGTTTGAAACACATTGAAATTTCTCATTCCTATCATTTGTCTTCGACCAATCATTGTTTCTCTATTTCAGTAAATCTATAAAAGTTACTATACCTTAACAGATATCCTATATAAACATTCTTTCCTCTTGGTATTGACCGGAAACCATCATGTTTGACGCACGACCGTCTGCCAATCCGCGGCCGCGAGCCGACTTTAAAACAATCATATTTCAATGAGTTTTAATTTTGAAACATCTGGGTAAATATTTAAAATTTTTAAACTGAACATTTTTCAACCCTTAATCCTGCTAAACCGAATATAAACAGCTGGATAGCTTCCTCATATGAATGAATTTACAGAGGTATTTGGTAAGTGATTACCAATGACTCGAAACACTCGGTCACGGGAGCCCCGACCAGGTTCTAGACAGTTGTTAGCTTAATCATAGAAACTTCTTAATACTTAAATAAAATACTTAATACATTAACTGTTCTAAATCCAAAGTTTTGCTCAAACTTTAACACAAATTCAGCAGGTAAAATGTAAATAAACAAATGATGCTTTTAATGTATAGGGTCTCAAATTCTAACTACAGAAAGAGAGCAAGAATCACACTCGGATCCTGTATTCCTTGCACAATCAGGTCAAGATATGATACCAATACCTCAACAACAGCCAGGTAAATGCAACTAAAAAAATAAATGTGTGTGTACTTGAAATCGATAGTTAAAAAAAAGCTTTAAGTAAGTGTTCCAGACAGATATCACCGTAATTACTTCTATTTGTGGCTCGATATAAATGTTTTGGTAATTAAACGTGTTTTATTACATAATAATATGCACACATTATTAAAAATTAGTTATCGCATAATCAAACCTTCCTTTCTTTTTACCTGAAATGGAATGGTTTTATAAAATTACTACAATGTATAATGATTATAGACTTGTAATAATTTTATTATCATCGCTGAGCATTTTGTTTGAAACGTAATAAGAACTTTCTAAGTAGTTAATAATAGACAGCAACGACACCTTTAGCCGATCAAAGTTTCAATATATTTAATTGGGTTTTCTTTGTGTTAAGAAAAGTATAAAGCTGTGTGCGATTACAAACCAATAAGGCATGGTGAAATCGAAATCAAGGCAGGACATGATGTGACGGTTTGGGGAAAAAGTGATGATTGGTTCCGTGGTGAAGCAAGCGGTCGATATGGATACTTCCCTGGGAATTTGGTACAGAAGCTTGAAGATAATGATTCATTTGGTGAATGTACAAATGAACTGGCTAAGAAATCATATGCTCGTCGTGCTAAGTTGAAAGATAGCTAAATTAAACTAAATATATAATTAACAGGAAGTGATGGATGTATTTTATCAATATCAAAACAAGACAATGAGTGTATTCAAGAGAAAGGACAGATCGTGTGAAAAATTACTTATTGTATATTCCGATCGTTTCACAATCATCTTGAATACTTGTAAATAAGCCATTAAATCACCGACAGTTATGAAACATATTTAAATCTATAAATAGGATAAAGTGTGTTCTTGTGTTACCATTAAGAAAATTAAATAGTTTAACCAATTTTCCATTTCACATTTCAATATTATTAGGTACAAGTGTGGAAAATTTTCTGAATTCCGCCTATTCGCAAGAAATATCTCAATTTCAGTATTTATGTTGAATTCAGGTAACAGACCTCATTGAATAACAGATTAAGTCCGAAACGTTCTAAGTTGTCGTTAATGCCATCCAGGAAGATAGTGAAGTCCAGTCTAGTTACCTAGTTATTCTTAGTACATTAAATTTGAATATGTTTATTGTAGGATAACGGTAATTAGACGGTAATTAGTCAACAAAACATAGCCGGATATTAATCATATAAAGTAGCTGACACCGGACTACTCTTAAGCATTCATACTTAGAAATGAAATACCTTTTCTCTTTAAATATGTTTTATTTTAAAATACCTGTAAGTATTTTTAATTAGTCGGGAAGATATTGTAGGATAAAGGTAATTAGACGGTAATTAGTCAACAAAACGTGGCCGGATATTAATTATGATAGTAGCTGTCACCGGACATGCGAGTAAGATTTTCCTAATTTAGTTAATTGATGAGCATGTTATCACATAAGCGGTGATTGTATCGATAGGGAGAAACATAATTGTTTATTTAATTGTTAGCCGTCCGGAAACGCATATTTGCAGTTATGAATTATATACATAGTGTTTTAACTAATTCTATTCCTGGGAGATTCTGCTTTCGTAAAAAAAATCAAATTTAAAAATGACTAATAGGACAAACCAGTGTTAAATTATTTAATTAGAACAACAAAGTGATTATGCTTTTATAAAAAAATTCTTTACCTAGGACAGCAAATTGTTATTTAATTTTATTCTCGAACTACAGAACAGTGTTTATTTTAGGACAATTCAAGAATTGAAAATATAGTTATTTTATGTATGCATATATATACGGAAAATTTCTTATATCAGTTTCCTATATTAGTATTACATTATATACCATAGTTTTCTTTTATATTTGTTAACATAATTATGTATATGAAAAAAAAATATGATTGGTTTAAATAATATCACTTTAAATGATTTAAACATATTTGTATATCGGTAATTATATCTATTGTTATATGTTAATTGTAAAGTGCCAATTGTGTACCTTTAGTTTTCTTGTTTTTATTTTTGCATTCGATTTTTCTTCATTCTTGTAACTACTCTTGAGCATTCATACTTAGAAATGAAATAATATTTCTCTTTAAATAAGTTTTATTTTAAAATACCTGTAAGTATTTTTAATTAGTCGGGAAGATATTGTAGGATAAAGGTAAATAGACGGTAATTAGTCAACAAAACATGGCCGGATATTAATTATGATAGTAGCTGTCACCGGACATGCGAGTAAGATTTGCCTAATTAAGTTAATTGATTGGCATGTCATCACATAAGCGGTGATTGTACCGATAGGAAGTAAACATAATTATTAATTTAATTGTTAGCTGTCCGGAAACGCATATTTGCAGTCATGAATTATGTGTTAATAAAGTTTAAGGCGTATATATTTTTACTATTTAAGGTAAGCAAAAGATTACATTCTCTAGTGTGGTTTTTTATGTTAAATAGACTCACTCACTCAGGTTGAATTATGCTACTGCTAGATACGCAGTTGACATGAATTCTTATTGCTTTACGTATTTGTTTAAGAATTGTGAAATTATTAAAGACACTGATTAAGCAATTGTTTTATAGAATAATATCTTATACTAAATAAAAACATATATATGACGTTTATAAACTTGATATTGTGTTGAATTATCAATAATGAGTTATTCAGATCTGGGCGTTACACTACATTATTTCAATCTTTGCTATATGAATTATTTTCTTTCTCAAGGGTTTAAATTGCGTCTTATATTTGTAAACGATCGTGTTGGCATGACACATTAAGTGTTTCCTCGGCTCTTCCTCCATATGAAAAGCTTGGAGAACGTCATACAATCTTGAAAGTGTAACTATGTGTTAATTGAATCCCAGTAAATAATCATACTGTGTTTTTTTTTTTTAAATATACTTTATAGAATTTCTTCATACAGTCAGATTAACGATTACTTTACCAATTCGTTTTTTATGGTGAAAAAGTGGTTTAAAAAGCTGACCATTGCCGTAGAGATATATCTGAAAACAGTCAAGTCAATAATACTTTTATGTAATGCAAGATAAATTAACACAGGTGACTAAAACTTGCATATGGTGTACTTTAAAATCTTCATAAAAAAAGCATTGTCTTTCTAGATTAACATATGTTTGCGATTAGAAAATATCTTGTATAAAAAAGAATGTAAATCATACACACGCATACACACACATGCTCACGGACTAAAGAGCTCGATGTAGAAAATCAAGAACAGTATTATTCTTGCACTATGAAACAAAATGGTACACGACTTGTATTTGGGTGAAAAAATGAACACGCTTAGTAGTTGCAAATTCACGAAAATGATCAAAGAATTTGGAACAAGCATGCATTGTTTTCTAAATTTTGTATTGTATCTGTAATAAAACTGTGCAGAACAATTAAATGAGGAGAAGAAACAGTATTAGTCGAACATCTCATTTTAAATAATATTTTAATCGGTTATTTACAAAATGATAGAAATAATATATTAGTATAATTGACATATTTGTTCAATACATTGAATTGATTAAATATTGACTATACCCGCGAAGTGCTTTTATTTGTATTTTATTTATCAAAGGCTTATTTGTTTTGTTATAGTTTACATAAAGATAGTCACTGGCCATTTATCAGAACCATCTTTTGCTTATGTTGTTGTTTTAAACTAGTACAATTATAATGATTAAGTATTTTGTATGGAAGACATAACACTATTATTTCCTTTACATTTTGCTAGCTTAATAAAAATTTAGTTCACTGTCAGCCTTACATTTCTTTTATAATTAGCATAGAACATGCTCTAAAATCATTTTTAAACATGATAATACTTATGTTTTCCCATTCTATAATACAAGATATCATGAACACAGACTCAGTTGATCAAAATATTGATCCCGATCCAAAATTGATCCATAATTTTATCCAATTTATATTATATTTAAATGTATTGTTATTTCTGAATTTTATAGCAGTTTGTAACAATTCCCCCATGTTTACGATTATTTTAATTTCCTGAAACAGTTAAATTAAATCAGGGGTTCAGAAATTAAATTTACTTTCTGATGCAAGATACTTTGCATGTAAAAAGCAGGTCTTACATGAAATGCCACTATATTTTAATATTGCGTCCAACTTATCTTAAATGTGTATCTTCAAATGCATCATCACATTTAGTCTTCTTTGTAATAGAAACCCAACTTGTCATAACCTGTGTCAACATCTGCGTAAGTTGTTGCTGATACTGAATGTTACGTGTGCATCTTTATTTGTTCGCGACTACTGTTTTGAATGAAAACATGTCATCGACATTTTATAGCATTTTAGTTTTATGGGAATGAACGCGTCACAAGACGATCTTCTTGGTAAAATATCAAAAGAAGTTGAATAAATGCAATGGCAACAAAGATTCTTAGACATCATCTACATTTCAAAATTTGCAAACGGCTAATTGTGGAAGGAATCATTCCTTTAACTGCATTTGATATTAAAAGCTAGTTTATGTAAGGGCCATTATGCCTTAGAAATACTTAAGTTTTTTAAATGCTTTTAAAAAAAGCTCTTTGCTTTTTGTATATAATTATAGCTTCCGAAAACTTACTCATTAATTTGCCACGTATCTAAACAATATTTTACTTCTTCTGTTGTAGTATTTTGTATGGAAAAATAAGGAATACTCTATTTTGCTTCCTTTTTGAAAACTTATTTCACATTTAACGCTACTTTCTTAAGATAACAAGCATCTAACATGCTGTTAAACCATGAGTTAAATGTTATAAAATTTGTGTTGTTCTTTATAAAGAAGTAAACATCATTTCTGAGTCATAATGTGCCTTTAAATGCAAATATTTGTAAGCTTTTTCATTCTACATATCTCAGTCTTTATAAGTCATTAAACCTTCAAGCTTACATTGGTAACAGCATGTTACATACTGTTCAAATGTATTAGTTAAATGTTGTTTCCTCTTATTTGTGTTTGTAAGAATACCATGTATAAAGTTATATTTTATTCACATGGTTGGAAGCACAAGTTTAAATATACCAGCTCTCATGTAAATTGCCGGTAATTTTCATTTCGTAAAACTTAAACTAAAAGTTATTTATTCATCTTAATTTAAATACCTTCACATAAAAATGTTATTATTTAAATGTGTTGGTTATTTGATTTATTTCTATAAATTGTTTAATAACTTCAAAATTTAAAGACACTTAGTATATACATTTTTTGTTCACACGATAATTAAAAAGACTGAATCAAGAAACGTGGTGTTTGCTTATTTATCATAATGGTAAAAACCCAAATTACAGATAGAACAAAGTGAGTCAAAGCCTGATCTCTACATCAATAAAGTAGCATACGAATAAAGAGGAAGAGTGTGATAACACTGTCGGCTCCCTGTAACATAAAGGAAATAGACACATTTTAAAATGATTTTTTTTCCAGTTACCATAGCCACATAAAGAAAACAAGAAACAATTCATGCTGTTTGGCTTTATTTTAGCATTGTCTCATTTTCGATAAGTACTTGGTCAGTTTCATATTTTCTCTGTCAGAAACTTGATTTTTCCCTTTCTTTTCATGAACAATAGGGTATACTATTCTCACTTCATTCTTTTGTTTTATAAATTCTGTCACATTTTACGATTAGAGGAATATGTTCCGTGTCGTCAGATGTGAAGTGTTCACCTTTTTCTTTACACAGACAATGAGGTTAAATCTTTGAACAAGGTTTCATTTTGCTAGTCATATACAAACAACTGATAGTAGTTATCTTATCTTACTGACCTTATTTCAGTTAATTTACTGAATATTTTTAATACACGAGAAGAGACTAATTTGTCATTCAAGTATGTTCTATTTTACTGTTTTATTTGGGATAGGAACTTTCCTAACAGGTAAATCATGTTGCTTCACATTTTGGAAACATTGTCATTATTGATTCCAGGTTGAAATAAAAACACATTAAAATAATTAATATATATTTTCAAGTTTATATATACTCCATAATAAAAGGACAATATCAACGTTTTGTAAATAATCTTGCAACATACACTTAAAACTTGTTTGAAAATATTACATTATTAATCCATTGATTTATTAGTATATTCTTCTAACCTTTTTATACGAATATCGTTAAATACAAATTAATCAAAAGCGTCGTAATGTGTTCGTTTTAGGCAATTTCTACAGATAAATTACTTCAAAAACTTGTGTGATATATGCATTATTATGAAACGATAACATATTAGTTAAAAACATATTTTTTAAATCAAGTCTTTTAAATTAAAAAAACTTCATGCCTCAGTACCATCCAAAACCCTGATCTATTACTTAAAAGAAGTAAACGTGTATACTAAGATTAAATTTACTCGCTAAAACCAAATCATTCTTTATACGTGGATAGTGTTGGGCGCGATATGACCAGTAATGTGTCAATGTTGCCTTTATACGGGAGCAAACAAACGGGTTTTTTTTATCTATATTGATATGCATATCAACAGGGGAGAGCGCAACTATCAGGACGAACATTGTTTAAGTTTGTGATAACGGCCCTTGTACTTTTAACGTAATCAGTCATCAAATTTTGGATAAGGACAAACATGCAACGAACATGCAACGAAAGAACTACAAAATAAAACAAAAAGTTGCATTTCACGTTTTGTCTGTTTTATGTAGGGATATATCAATTTTAATTTACATGTACGAACCTATGTATGACCAAATGTGTACAATTTTATCAAGATATCTTGCAAAATGATGAGTATAAGTAATTAATACTTGTATATTCTGCAATTTCTCGATGTAATTAGTCAAATGTAGTATATAATATTAATTAAATTTACCGTCGTTAAAAAATTGTTTGACAGTGATTGTTATCTGAATCAAATGAATCAGTTACTAATCTCACTGATCATATTTTCTCATTTTTAAATGATAACAGTGACGCCATTTTCTGAATCTTAATGTTATAATATGTATGCTATAATATTTACTTGTTATAACTTGATTATTTCTGTCACAATTTATTTTTTAATGTATAACTTTTTTTTTCATAAGTATGTTCGTGCTGCTGCCAGAATGGCTGGACACGTTTCAATGATTCTTGCTACTTAATTGGTTACGGACACAATGTAACATTTATCGAAGCTGAGGTAAATACGACGCTTTGATACTCTTCAAAAAAAATTAACATGTGCATGTAATCAATAGGTCAAAAACTTAAAAAAATAAAAAAGGAATAAAAAAGAACAATCGAAGAGAAGAAAACGGTCAGCTCTCAAGTCTGAAATCGCACATTATGATTTATTTCCATCTAGCTTTGGGCTTCCACCTTGTTCGAGAACGTGTTTTAGTTAGTAGGCTATTATGATATTTCGAGCTTGCTTAAAATTTCGAGCCAGCCGATCGATCGATATTTTTTGCAAAAGACAAATATCGTGCAAGTATCAAACAGACAAACAGTTATTCAAAATTCACTTAACCAATGATTATTTAGATAAAATTGAACTCAGAGCCAGTTCAGAGATAGACATTCAATTTACTTAAAAAGCATATATCGAATAAGCATTACATCCAGAGTCAACTGTAAGATAGATATGCAATCAAATCCTGAGTCAGCTATGAGATTGATTTAAAAAGGAGCGAATATCGAGCTGGTCTCCTATTCAAAGCCAGTTTAAAGTTCGAATTTCTTTTTTAAATAAAGGGATAAATATTGTGCTTGCATCAAACTCGGCATCAATAGATAGTAAATTACTAGATTGATTTTCATATTCATTAAAAAGGACAACAAAAATAAGCTTACATAGAACTCAGAACTTGTTGTTAGATTTTTATCCAGTTTCATTTTTTTTGTTGTGAAAGCGAATATTATACAATCACAAGATTGATATTCATAATGTACTAGTATCGAACTAGCAAAAAAAATGATTTTGCCTTAATTCAGAGCTAGGTCTAAGATCTAAATTGAAATAATTTATGGCAAATTCCGTGTGGCATCTTAAACTTAATCGGTTGTGAAACAAGTTATAGCAACCGGCATTGATTATTTCAAAATCTGGAAACAAAGTGATCCCTCGGAAGCATAAATTACAAGTCCCTTGTCATTTAAAGAAGAATGGTCGTGGTCAAATTAAGGCTACAACCAATAATTCCTTGGTCGAAAGGACTTGATTACTAGGCTACCTCTCTCTTCCTTAAACAACAAAACAAAACAAAATATGTGTGTGTGAGTTTGTGAGGTGTGATGGGGAATGGGGACACCACTCTTATGCGCATGTGAGTAATAAGGATATAAATGTGACATGATTATCATTTGCAACCAGTGTAATAGACTCGGCATTTGCAAGCGAGCCGGAAGGGTACCAAGGAGTCAGAACAAGTCGTTCGATTGGCGTTGTCATTCCCGAAAGTCTGGAGGAGGGAACCAGTTTCAGATCTAGAACGATATCCACCCATTTTAAATTTATGAAAATTGATCTTAAATTCGGTACTAACGCAGTAATCGCCCCTTAATCTTTTTTTAAATTGTCAGTCTCAGAGCTGAATATAGCTAACGAAATATAAATTATCAGTTTCGAACCTAGAACTGGCTCTAAATTCGAAATAAGCTAGATCCGGGCTTGTTTAATGATGTTTTATATCGAGCTCAGCGTGGGCTCTGAAAACGTTCCAAGCGCGACATTGGATTTTTGAAAATTTAATTTTCGTACTCTAAATTCGATTGCCTTTCGTTATTCAACTGTTCATGGCTTTTTAAATTTGATTTTTTTATTTTATTTGTGATATGCATGCTTCATCACCTCTAACCCACTTGAAAAAATCCATCTGAGCCTATTGCTTCCTCGTTAAGGACAAAAACATTCGTTACTGGTGCTTTTCATTGAATAGGACGCACGTTTCGCATTCCGGGTTGCATGAACGCATCTACGAATGTTTTCTTAATTCATTTTTTCAGCATTACATGTTTAATTAATGTTAAATAATTCTTTTAATGGTTCTACCAGGTATGGATTGTGCTTGTATGTAGTTTGCATTAACGTCCATGAAAAGGCTCAATTAAACTGAGTCTGCAACATTTACAATCTTATTTTTTTGGCGTTCTTTCGGGGTTCCTTTTTCTCTATGCTTGTGTTGAATATCGAGCGCTCTGAAAATAAAAATTGAATATCAATCTCAGACCCATCACTTAATTGTATTAACATTCTGAAATTTGAAATGAACTGAATTTTTAAAATTGTATGAATTTTTTATGATTCAGACTCGTGTACTGCATAACTGTGTTCCTTTTTGTTTATTCAATCATGTAATATGTTTTCCTTTGCTGAACTGAAATATTGCTCTTTACTTTACTGCCAAGTAATGTTAATAAGAATTTTATGTTATTCATGTTTCTTTGCAGTATTTCTGCAGGCAGCACAATGGTCATCTTATCCATGTGAATACTGCAGAGGAAAATCTTTTCATCGTTGACATCCTACAGAAAACTAAAGGTAAGGATTGTTTTAAATTCTAATTTTTAATAACGTTGCAGGAAATCGTAGTAATGAACTTAATGAGAAATTTCTAGAAAAAATATATTCCAATAGTTACACAGTCTGAACCCTAGGTAACTGATTCTGCTGGCTAACACAATTCAAATAAAGTTTATACGTAACGTGTAAGTATGTGTTATCGGCGCTGATTTGTTACTGTAACAACGGCAAGTTTGGTATAAATATATTACTGAATAAAATAGATAGATACATTAATAAACAAACAGATCAATAAATATGTAGATGGGTTAATATCACCGTTCAAAGCCATTTGGGACAAGAATAAAAGAAGATTTGATTGGAAACTTTTCAAAATCAACCAGATTTTTTTCTCTATTTCTATAGCTTATCACAGCTGGGTTGGAATATCGGACATGGATGTAGAGGGGATATGGCAGTGGTAATAAATTTCTTTATGTCACACAATCATGTGTTTGGAGGATGTTAAATAAGTGTATGAATGAGTTAAATGAACCTGTATAATGCGAGTTTCTCAATCAGTTCAATAAATGTTGTAATGAAGCTACACTACAAAACATTATAAAATATTATCACAGACTATAAGATACTTAGGTTTACACTTATGTTTTTTTTTCATTGAGGCGTTATACTGAAACGTACATGATTACGCTTAACCGAGTGTTTATAACACAGGTGTGTGATAAATTGTAATTGTCGAAACCTCATTGTCTTTTACGTTTCATTTGATTATAATTGATGATTTTCTGTTTTGAATGCAAGTATAATATTAAATTCTGTACTCATCAGAAACCTCTAAAAGGGACGTCAGTTGTTCTACTCGGTTGCGCATTAGTGCTTGATATAGTTCATATGACTACATGTATTAGTATGGACAAAAACATTTAGATTGTTTAAAACATATTTCAATGTAAGTACTGACTGAATGGCGAATAGTGCAGACATTGATCAGACGGCAAGTTTGAACCGGCTGATCTTGGTATGCACTGGTCGCTTGGGTAAAGTCAATTGCCAACAGCAGTTTAGAGCTTTTAACAGGTACGACACGTCACAAAAACCAAATTTTACCTACTGGTACCCAGGGGAGCCAAATGGAGGTCAACCTGAAGACTGTGGGGTTTATGCTGTCCACCATGACTATAAATGGAGTGATTACCCATGTGATAGCCACTTGCATCCAATCTGTGAAACAAGGTAAACTGTTCAAAGCCGACGAAGGTTAAGTGTTTTTACACTTTGTTTTGTGTTTTACTATTTTAAGTTGAATAATATTTGATTACACAAGAACATATCATTCTTTTTGCCTATACAAAAGCACTAATATCGTGCAAAAATGTGTAAAATAATGCTATTTAAGACAAAAAAGCGCTGTTCAACACACTTTCAAGATGTGAACGATATTCGTGGATGCATTTGAGGCTATTCGTTGCCAAAAATCCAGCCTTTGAAACTTGACAATGCATACTTCATTTCTACTAAACAGATTAGTAAAAATCTAATTGTCGATCCCAGAGTTACATACTGCACTGGTATTAAGCATTTTGATTATCTCGATTTGAGAAAATGGAAGCTGTAAACATGCAACTTAGATGCAACTTTTATCTATTAGATAAACTTCAAACTTGCGACATGGTAAATGTAAACGATATCACGGAAATATACGAAAATTAATAGGTGGAGCCAATTTTCACGAAAGCAGAATATAATGAGAGATAATATTTGCTAGTGCAAAAATATTTGAAATTATATAGAAACTGTTTTAATTTTCACATACTAGTACATCAACTGCATTACTGTTGACTTTGAATATCCCCTGACTTTGTTAAAACGTATTCTAGTACAGGATATTCAAGTAATGCAAAATTGGTTAAGATATAATGTAACACTGTAACAACGTTATACTGATAATGAGCATAATAATATGCAAAAACTTAAATTGGTGAATTAACATAAGGGAATGTTTCCCATATATAATGTTACGCACCACGTTTTTCTAGGAAATGTGGTATCGACAACGTTTTAAAACTTATATGCCTATAATCCTTTAAAGTTCACTAATGCTGATTGTATAAGACATAGAATGGCAATCATGCAAGTGAATTATGTTTGGTGAATAACTTAACACCTAAAATGTGTGGTAAACGGAAACTACGCCGCTTCTTGTCGCCGACGGTAAATACCGAAACTGAGCGGGTAAATACGTTTATTTACGATGATGTAGTGGGCTGGAAAACGTGCAGAGCATATTTCAATTTATTGAAAAACGTGTAAAGCTGGATTATGCTGATCAGAATCATGATGGTTCGACAATGTAAAGCTAAGAATGTAACTTCTGTTTTGTCGGCGTTTACACAAACAATGAGTATTCGAACACTTGGTATTGCTACTTTCAGCAAAAACAGTTTATGTTTTGTCGTTTAACAAAATGTATAGGGTTGAAATGCATTTTTACAATGTTAATTCGGGATACTAAATCCAAGAATGCAACATTGGAGTTTACATACAAAGAAATACAAATATTATTGTATTTTTCCGTTAACAAACTGTTCAACTCAGATAAAAAAGGCTGGATTTTTGGCAACAAATAGCCTCCATAGAATAATACATAACTATTTCGATACGATGAACTGAAATGATTTAATTTGTCATAAATACATTTTATTTCGATAATGCTGTCATCAAATTGAATTAATTAATTTTTTATAAGTATTATGTACGTAAAAGGAAAATCAAAATAATTATACATGTCCAGATAATGATTGTTAATGTTTAGAATTTTGCACCTTAAAATTAAAATTCTAAAATGTTCACAAATTCTTGTGCTGCCAATGTTAATATTGATTTGATATTGTCAAGCAAAAATTAACAAGCTTTTGTAGGATCATGGTTCAGGATTATATAAAATTGGTAAAATGTTCCAAGCTGTTCGTATTTCGGAGCAAATTTATGTTAGGCAATTGTTATTGTTATTAAATAAGAAGTTAAAAACAGTTAGTAACAAAATAGTGAATTTCTTGTTTTTCTTTCAGCACTGATGTTGTGGATTCAATTATCGGCAAATAAGAAAATGAATGTGAAATATAGCTGTATAATATAACTAATAAATATATGAATAAACAAGGTTTTTTTTTTCGTTTTACACATTTTGTCTATGTCCTACTGTTTCGATTAATACGAATACCTGAAACTGTCTATTTTTTATAAACTGCTATCAAAAGCGTTTATGTTAACATTTATTTAAACGTGTCCTGTTCTGTAAGTTTAAATTTTTAAGTGTCAATTCAAATTATTTCAGTTGATATTGCCCTAAATATGATATTGCACTGAATGAAATATTTTTGCGTCATATACATACAACAGATGATAGTTGTCTTATCTTACTGGCCCTATTTCAGTCAAATAAGTTAATATTCTTCATACGCGAGGAGAGAATAATCTGTCATTCAAGCATGTTTTTTTTTAAAGTTGCCGCGTACTTCACTTCAGTCTTGTTATTTTTTCTGGTCCTTCGGGGTTACTGGCACTATAAACGCTAGGGGCACTTTTTCATTATCCCTCATGTACATACTCAATTTGCAATTCTCATGCAATTTTGTTATGATTAATGCTTCCGAGGGATCACATTGTTTTCAGATTTAACTTAATCGCTTGTACACATTCTAATTATAGTGTTCTTCGCGGTATGACTATCGCCGGTAAACCCAAGCAAACAAATACTATTTTTTATTGATATTCATCTTAACAGGGGATCGCAACTATACTTTAAGTTATATCGATTTTCAGGTGAATTTTTTAATTTTTGATAACTTAAAGGACAAAAATGCCACGAAAGAACTACAAAAGAAAACAAAAGTTGCATTTCTCGTCTTGTCTGTTTTTGAGGGATATATCAATTTTAATTTGCATGTATATACAGCCAAATAAATCTTTTAGAAAAATATCTTGCACAAAGATGAGTATTAGTAATAAATATTTTTATACTAAACAAATAGTTGATATAAATAGTAAAATAATTGAGAATCAAATGTAGTATATAATATCAACTGAATCTACCTTTGTTGTAAAATAGTTAAGTTTGGTAGTGATTGTAATTTGAATCATATGAATCAGTTGCTTATCCTACTAATCACTTTTTATGAAATTTTTACATGATAACACTGACGTCATTTTCTGATTATCAATGTTATGATATCTATGCTAAAATATTTCCTTGAAATAACTTCAATGCATATTTCTATCACTTTCTTTTACATAAGTCTTGCAAGTGATTATGCAAAAATGGCTGGACACGTTTTTATGATTCTTGCTACCTAATTGGTAACGGGCAGCATTTAACTTTTGTCGAAACAGAGGTAATCTTAACGATTTGATACGCTACTCTTTTCGACCCCTAGTGGATTAGGCATTTCGATCATTTTATCATTTTACTCTACTTACGATGACAATAAAGATACTTTTAGTAAATATGTTCAATTTATCTAATGTATGAATACGCATATCAAATAAACAAATAAACACCAGTGGCGTGTCATTGTAATTTATCAATTATAGGTAATTAACATCCTTGTGTGTATAACATATCATCCTGTCAATCATTAAATTGTTGCTGTGCTAAATAAACACAGTAGCTGCATTTCATAATTTACGGGGTCGAGGATGTTGTCGTTTGCCATTTCTATTACGTTTTCTTAATTTCACATAACAAAAACATATATATCTGACTCAGGAAATACTTTTTAGTACTTATTATAACGCAATAAAGACATTTAGACGTTAATATATAAAGATGACTTCTAGACCCATTTATTCGTAGACCCTTTTTGCGTGAATTTGTTACCTTTAAGGGGTAAGAAACTTCGAACCAGGTATCATCTTTTTGTATTTTAGAAGGTCAGAAATATAGGTCAGCAATTTCATAGTAAATAATTTTTTCATATATTTATAATTATATTTTCATTACAAGATCCAACAAAAAACTGAAAAGGTAATAAAAAAATAAAAATATTTCAATATAATTTATGTTTTGTTACATACCAGTAAGATGTATATCGATGTGGTTTTTAAGCTGGGACATAATAAATTCTAAAAAAAGTCCCAGACAAAAAGTAAAAAAAAAAAAACATTTGCATTGAGTGTTTTTTATATTCACAATATTTATAAATTAGTAAAGATTTAGTTATGTTTTCATGTGAAACATGTGTATTGGCTATGAATTTTCACACATTTCTATGTAATAAATAATAAATATTGTTCATCCTCCCTTTTGCTAAGGTTTCATTTTTTAGCATTGTTAGTATAAAATATCGATTCTTAAAAAGTACAAGAACCCTTCGCTCAACCTTTAATTACTTCAATTTATCGTTAGTTCTATGTATTTACAAAAACTAATACTTCTATAAAGAGAAAGGTTTACCTTTACATGAACTTTATCATCGGTCAGTAACTATGAGAATCTCTTATATCTTATTATCTTTAGTGACCTTAGACATCTGTCACATTTGTAGTCATAATATTTATCATTTGTGTTGCAATCCATCCATAAATGATGACTATAAAATGGTCCCTGTGCACATCACCCAACTGTGACCTCTTAATGTGACCTAAGCTTTGGTAGCAGGGACCTGGATTATGCGCGCAAGACTTACACTCAAATTGGTGAAAATTTGTGTCACGTAACATTAAAATACCCCTATGAATTTAGAAGTTTTGCTCAGAACATTCATTTTTTAGCATGTAAATATGACCTTAACGTTAAGCCTAGTTATCTGGTTCATGCACGTACAACTGCTTATAATGGTCACTGATGGTGGTGTACCTTTTATGAAGTTTTATTAAAATTCCACCATACATGTAGGAGTTATGCTCTGGACAATATCTCTATATTTTATAACTTTAATGACATTGCACTTGCATATATTTAGTTACACGTTTTACATCTGCAGTCATCATAATGTCCTTTTGTATTGCAGTCCCTCAACAACACGGGGGAGGAATTGTTGCATAAAGGATGAGTTCATGAGATAAATGTCACGTAGTTTATCAGAAAACTTATGTATATATTACAAAAACACTCGTCAAAAATGGTAATTTTTATATTTAAAAGGTTATCCTTAGGTGCTAAATAAAACGTTATTGATCAAGAAGCTTGCCTTACGCCTTGTATTATTTGACAAAAACTAATTCTCAGGTAATTTTAGTTTGCTTCTTGTTTAGAATCTCGTAGCTTTGAGTAAACTTTCCAAATTATTTGCCTATTCGAACGTATTGACTGTTTATATCGGTCTTTACCTTTGCCATTACCCAATAATTATGCAAAATTACAAACATAAAGCCCCGGCTTACAAATTTATACACATTTTTTTAATGTCACGGAGTTCTTGTGATAACTAAAAAATGTCTTTGAGTTCTTGAGATAACTTTTGTTACTGCCAGTCTGTTTCTTGTGCAAAATCCCGGTACGTTTTAGCGTTTTGTATTATTCAATAAGGTTGTTAATCATTATGAAATGTAGTACGCTCATCTTTATGATGATAATATTTTTTTTGAGTGTATCTTAGTTCAAGAGATATTATTTTTACCCAGGGTTCGTGTGCAATGTTTAATTTTAAAGTATTTTTGCTGCCTCAGTTTTCTTAGACTGGAAAAAGAATTGATGTATAGCATTGTCTTTCGTGGTAAAATGTGCTTTAATAAATATACATTATACATTATAAAGGACCTTTTGTAGGTGCAAAGATTTGGAATAGAATACTATCAAATATACCTTCTTCTAATTCTCTGACATCTTTTGAATATTAGTATAAAGAACATATCTTGCAAATCAAATAAATAGCTTCATAACTCTGTCTTAATGTTGTAATATTTATAATGAATGTATATTAGAATGTATATTGATGAAATGTTTGTAAATGAAAATTGTATAAATTATATTTTATTTATCTAAAAGAAGCGTTTGTCAAAAAAGTGATAGGGAAAAATCTAAATTGAATATTTGTTATTGTTTTAGGATGTTTTGAGTTTATTATATTTCTATATATTGCTTAGAAGGCCATATTTAAAATTAAAATATGTTATTAGATTTATATGATTTTTTTTATGATGGTATATTTTCTTGTGTTTCTTTCTATGAAGACAGATATAATAAATATTCCATTGGTTTGCAGAAGAAAAACAAATTATATATTAATAGTTTGGAGCAAAAAAGAAGTAGCATGCACTACCTATATCTAAGTTTATGAGGTGGATCATCTTAAGGTATTCTACATGTACAAAATTTCTAAAAGGTTTTACCATAGAGACTTAAAAAATTATATGACAATGATATGACAATACAAAGTAAGTATTTACTGATAGTCACCTTAGGTTTCATGCCGGTGATCGACATTTTTTTCTTTGTTATATCCACTCTAGCATCACGTAACTTAAAGGACTCTCCATAGTGCGGATGAGTTTTGTTCATCAAAGTAGTCAAGTAAGTAAAACTCGCTATCAAATCTTTAGAATCACTCTACTTCAAACTAGGTGAGCATTATTAGCTTTAATATACTAGTACTTATCCCGATGTACGAAAGTAATACCATGTACGTTGTCATTTAACATTAAAACGTATTTTTTCTGTCGATGTTTGATGGGTATTGTTCTTATGTTAACTTAGTGGGGACAACTCTGCTTCTTTTGCTGTAATTGATAACAAAATTTACAGTCAAACTTAGTTTGCTCGAACCCGGAGGACCGTGCAAATTTGTTCGATCGAGAGATCGGTAGTTAGAGCCAACAGCAGTTGAGCTTTTATCATATATCGTACATTTTAGAGACATAGATGTGAAGATTAACCTGGTTGTATACTTCTTTTTTATGGTTATAAAATGATACAAACAAATTAGCTCAGAGACCAGGAGAGCACAAGTACATGCATATATTGTCTGATTAAGAAAGGTGTTTGCTTAAAACATGTTAAACTGAGATCAACGTGTACGTTTTAAGAAATTTTTGGTTTGCGGCTTGGGCCATGATACTGCTGAATGTCAGTGACCGCTGATTCAATTTAACTGTAGATGTTCATCTGTTTATAATTTGCAGACATTCGAAATCAAAATCATATAATATATAATTGAGTTTTTA